GGGTCCACAGTCACCACTCTTTACTCCAAACTCTGCAAGATGCCACATTGTTTTCCTCCTATACTATTGTGTGCAGTGCTACATAATGTCTATTCTGCGTACCCCAGTTCACATGTTTATTTCCAAAGAATGTCCAGGGCTGCAGGGCTGGGGTTGTAGATGTCCTACACAGGAGTGTGACCAGGAGTTGCATGTACCTTTCATGTCCACCTGGCAGGCCAGCTACTTCCCCCAGTGTCCTGCTGCTAGAAATTTGTTGTCCTCCTCTGGGTGTCTGTTTGGGAGTGTCAACCAGGGGGCCCCTGATGGGAGACTCTCAATATGATAACTCGATTAGGAATAAGGATGGATGACATTTTGGCAGAGAGTCAGTCAGCAACACCCAGGGAGGTAGTGACTCATCTCCTTAACCTCTCCTCAGGAGGCTGAAATTAGCGGCAGCAATTGGTGAATTGCTACATGTATTCTCTACCTCTTTCTCACTTTCCCTGGTTTATGCAGTCAGTAGATCTGCTGTGGTACAGTGGGTTCTTTCATTTCATTGCATATTTCTCTGTCTTTGTATCTCTGAATACACAACGTAACTACCCACATATTTTGACTATATTGTGATTCTGAAGGGGAGGTTGGTCATGGTCACAGCCTCTTCTTATTTCTCAGTGACGCCGCTCTTTATCTGGCTCCATGCCTGCAGTAGAGAAGAGATAATTCAATTAATGTGGTGAAGGCCTGTGTTTCAAAACCTGTCCTTTTTGTCTGCAGCATTTGCATCATAAAACTCTGTCACAAAGCTGAAGGTCCTGTATCATTTTATGATTTTAAGATGTTAAGATGACAAAATGAAATATTTGTTCACTTTCAGACAAGGCTCTTACCTCGTCAACAGGATGTCACCACAATGTCAGCTTACTGCTCCAAGGGCAGAGTCTGTTCAAACTCTAGATGTGTTAGGTTTTGTTCCCCAAAATCACCTTGAATGCTGAAAGAGAAAACATCTGCTTCGGAGGTCTCGAGGAAACAAAAGATGTTTCCCACATGTACAGCTGATAACATTTCACATTTAGTTAATGAAAAACTGCCAAATTGCAACATGAAAGTCACTTTGGCCATGGTTTCCATGGGCTAGTCCCAGAGTACAAGCAGGGCCAAAAAGCCAGAAACATTTTATCTAAATATTTTCATTTATTCAGTGAAAATTTATTTTATTCAAGAGTCAGAATTTTAATTTTGATGATTACTCTAGTTAAAATAGCTAAATATGATTCTATAATGAGATTAAGAAGAGTTTTCAAAGGAGGAGGTAAAATTACCGAATTTTCTTCTGATAAATTTCTTAGGAGCTCTTTGTGTCTTGAAGCAGCCACTCTGTGGTCAAGTGCAAAACGTTCTTACAAGCCCTTTCCAAGCTCTTTAAATTACAGTATCTTTCTTCATGCTCTGCTCGGGTCTGTGGAGCTTGTTGACTCTGGTGACCTCTGACCTGTCACGCACTGCAGGTTTAGTCTGACGTATTCAAGGTGTTACCATCTGTGCCATCACCCCACCCACCCTCCAGCCCTTGTCTCCCTATGGACAATTCCTCTGTGTCCAGGCCCACTGGGCTGGAAAAGATGCTTACAGTGGACTGTTTGTTTGGCTTTGTAAATGTCTCAGCCCTGGAGACAGAGAGGTAGAAGGTTCCTGGAAGACACTTGTGTCATTTTTTTTTCATTTTGGTGAACAGTGCTCTAGAGTGTTGTGCTTCTCTGCACCTACAAGTTAACTTGTAACCCAGTGACCTTGTGTACCTGAAAAAACAATAGCTGTTTCCAAACTTTATCTATTTGTGTGTGTGCCAAAATTTTTATTTATTTTTTTGCTACAGAGTAAGGACATTTTTGGAAAGTGAGAACAATTTGGCCAGTCCTCAATATGTGAAACACTTTTTTTAGAGTTAAGATTTGGTTTTGGGGTTCAGGTTAGAATTAGGTTTAGCTTAGGTATTAGGGTAAGGGTTATGGTTAGGCATTTAGTTCTGATGGTTAAGTGTTAGGCTAAGGGGCTTGGGGATGCATTGTATCAATGAGTGTCCTCACAAAGATAGAAGTACAAGTGTATGTGTTTGTAGCTCCTGCTTAGGTCATTTAACAGATTTGCAGGGGTGCTGGTGTGACTGGGACTTTCAAGAGGCCCCAGGCAGCACAGGGCCTTTTCGAACAGTGAAGTAACTGTCCTGAGACACCAGAATATGCACCTGATCTAAGATAATCTTGCCAGACTTCCATGAATTTTGAGTAGCACCTATGCCAGCAAATGCACAAGTGCAAATCCACCACATTCATTTATTTTCCAGCCATTTACATGCCTAAAATTTTCCTTAACAACCGCAGCGTTCACTGCGTCAGCCTGCTGATGTGTAAAAGACACTCGAGGTAGACCGTTAAGAAATCAGGAACATCGGTGTGGTTTGAATCATTTCTGATGGTCAGTGTACAAATCAACAATTAAACTAGATGAACTATGTCCCAAACTCTGACCAGTTGGTACTGCGGTGTCTACACACACCCAAGACATTCTCTGAGTAATGTATAGTAATCACACTATAACAAGTAGAGTTGGCCCAGACATTGAGATCACTTTCATTTTACTCACATTCATCATATTTGTCATTCATTAGACATAAAACTTGTTTTGTTAGAACATGCTGGGTGTGAGTGAATATGTTGTTCCTCTAATCCTGCAGTGTAGTGTACTGGTGCTGGTGATGTATTTCATATTATACAGTACATGATGCTTCCTGAGCGGTAGTGCCACTGACTCAGTGTTTTAGATCAGGGAAGATCAAAATCACACTTAGTAGGAAAATGCTGCCATCTTGTGAGTGAAAGTCTGTACTGGCCTTCACTGCTGAAAAGCAATTGAGAAATAATCCACACGTATAATGCAATTATGCCATCTAAAGGTTATTCTAATTTAGAGATCTGATCTTATGGTTTACTTTTGCTTCTCAATATACTGTACACTTTAATATACATTACATTACTCCCGATGGGGCATGGCCTATACACTAACTGTGTTTTGTTTAAATTAATGAATTTATTTATTTTTAAAAAATTGGTGTTGGATGCATAGTGAAATAAGTAAAGTACACAAAATACACAATAGGTACAAGTACAGAGAAAGCTATTTGGAATGCAAAATACAGTAGAATGCAAAAAAAGAAAAGAAAAACACACTAATGTTAACAAAAATGCTGTGTAACATGTAGACAGTACTTAAATTGGGTACACATGTGCCTTCATTGTAGTACAGTACATGACTAAATGCGCTTGCCAATTGGAAGGCAGGTATGAATGTGAAATGGAGACCCATCTTACCTGGATAACTGTATATTTCAGAGCTTACTAACCAACTAGATAAGAGAGAACTTTAGAGAACTGATCTATTGATAAAATTGGTCAACCTGATTTTTTTGCGTTTGCAGTTAGTATTTCCATTGTAATATATTCCAATAATATGTAGAGCCATTGATATACTGTGAGGTTATTTTAAATTTTCCAATTAAGTAAATAGTTAAGTAAAATGGTTTTCTTAGTGATTGTTAAGGCAATGTAAATTGGTTGTTTATATTTATTTATGTATCTGTATATTTGTTTTTTAGATTCAATTTAGAGTCTCCAATCAACCTAAGCTGCATGTCTTTGGACTGTGGGAGGAAGCCAGAGCACCTGGAGAGAACCCACACAGGCACAGGGAGAACATGCAAACTCTTCTTGCCTGAAATTCAACTTATATTTTGATACAGGCCTCTCCACCCATTTTATGTTTGCTCCTGCTAGCAATGTGACTGCTAGCCTGTAGATAACAGAAGACAGGGATAGCCTGACACTAGCTAACATGGAGGTGACATTTTCCATTGTGTAAAGACTGGTGACATAGCCAGCAGGTTTTCAATTTAAATCAGTGTGCCTACTGGCTAATTGGTTAGTTATCTAGCCTATCAGCTACTTAAGCTCTGTATGGATTTTAAAGGCATTTTTAAATAAACGCACATCAGAAAAACAATACTACACACACTTCACGCTTTACCAGTTTAAAAGACATTTCCATACTATTCAATGCAGTCAAGTGTGGCAGATCAAATTGCTGTACCCTGGTTTTACATTTCATACACACTAAACAGGCTAAACAGGCTAAAACTAGTTTGGTTGTAAATCACTCATATGGCACCTGACTTTGACGGGATCTGCACTCTATATCTCTTTGACACAAAATACCAAAATAACCTAAATTTGACATATTATTACATAATGAAGCAAGTGCATGGAGATATATTTTTTAGAAAAGCCAAACAAACACAGCAACTAACCAAGGTTCAGCCAGTCTAAAGGTCAAATGCTGAAACCTCTGTGTTGGTTTTGGGCAGACATCATGAAAAAAAAAATCCCCACAGTGATTCAGCATCTGGAGTTATTTAATTTCTTTTGTGCTTAATGGACTCAGTGGTATGTCAGAGTAAAAAAAGTAAAGAACAGGCATGTACGGATTAAGGGATTAGAGTCCCAAAACCTAGTGGAGGGTTTAAGGGTGAAAGGCATTTTTGATCTTACAAAAAAGTCAAGTACCACTGAAACTATTTAACAGCTTGTGGAAGAAGCAGGTGAGACAAGTGAAGTTCTTGTGTTGAAATTGGTATGACTGTTGTGTTTTTGATTTTGCTTTTTTGTAAGCAGCCTACAACACTGCAGGGAAGATGGGACTCCTTTCCACTGGAATAAAGAAAGTGACATGAGATTTCACTGTCCATGAAATTCATGAAAAAATAACTGCAGGCTCTCTTTTTTCTTCAAGTCCATATTACTACTATTATATGAACCTCTTGATAAAATCAGTGTAGGCCTATTTCTTTTCAAATCAATGTTTGTGTTTAGCTGTCCCTTACAGATTAACTAGCCTATATTATCTTGGAGCAGGTCTGTGTTGCATGTGCTGATGGGTCCCGCCCTTTAAATTGATCAGCCTATAACAATAGACGCTGGGTCTTAATTCTTACGCTCTCGACGCTACGACGACTATGAGGAAGCTTTTCGGTGCTTTGTCCGTCTAGAAAGTAGCATATCTCCCTGCAAATAGAACAGATCCAGATGGAAAATTCGGCCTTTCTGGAGGAAACGTTGCCCGAGGAGGAGAAGGAGTTTCAGAAGATGATAGCTGTGATCGGGGGTAAAGAGAGAATCTATTTGATCAGCGATGCCGGTCAAAGTAAAGACGTGGGAGGGGGTATCTCTGGACTTTTGCGGGAGTTTATACTTGACATGTTTCATTTTTCTCACACAAGCAGTGATAGCGACACTGTGAGGGAAAACCACATTTTCGGTAAGACAGACACAGTCAATTGTAGTGAAATACCTCTAGCAGTGAGCCCAAAGGACTTGGATTTGAGAGCATGTGCGGTGCGAGAGGACATGGAGAAGGAGAAACGCAGCTGCAGTGCTCAGACAACAGCAACGAGGGGGGCAAATATTTACAGCCTGAAGCGAGTGATTGACTCCCCTGTTATCATATTCATCTTCAGACAGACATTTCTCAGCAAAAAAACAAACCAAGTGTGCTTAAAAGAGATCCTAATTGACGTAAAGGCGCGTACGAAGCTTGCCAGAGTTGCCCGACCAGCTCTGATTGGATTATTGCGCACGGGACAGGAGAACGCCGAGACGCATCAGTGTGTGCAGCTCCTAGAACATCTCATCCGTTCAGTGTTCCACAGACATCCACCAGAGACAATATGGGTCGGCTGTTACATTCCGAAGACGGAGGCAAAAATTCTCAGCATCAAGAAAAACGCCTGCAAAATTATATACTCATCTCAAACACCAGGTATAATAACGTATACAATGTCCTTATTCTGCTTTGCACTCAATAATGCTGAGCAAAATCTATTTGCTTCCTGTTAGTAGTCTAGTAGCTGTAGCTATGATGCAAAATCTATAGAATGAGTTATGTTTACCAAATATCCATACTTTTTCTTTTTTTTTTTTTGGCTTAAGCACACGTCAGCAGGACAGTTGGATGTCAACATGAAGTTTGAACCCTGGTGTGCTTTACTAGAACACCATGCAGCTTTGAGGTTGCATAAATTTATTGACAGCCACTTTGACACTTTTTAAAAGCGCTCTAAGTAACAGGTCCATTATACAGGTATCACACAAACCTATGACTAATCTATAATTATTATTGATGGGAAAATAGTGATGCCTTAGGAAATGAAATGACTTCTCTATACATTTATGGTGCCATAGAATCACTCAAAGCACCTAAAAGAATAAGATCATTGTAAACCCACTAATGGGTCCATTATTTAGGCCAATCCATGACATTCACAAGACCATGCATTTCTGCACACAGTTTTTTTCCCATCCTGGCTGCAAAGGCCCAGGCACAAAAGGAGCATTCATGAAACAATCAGGCTCTTAGTTAAGCTGCCAAATTGTTAAATGTTTATCAATGCCTTTCAGATAATACCAGGGATAGTGGGAACCCACTTTTCTGGCCATTCCGGTGTTTGTTCTGGCCTCGGAGAAGAGGAGCCAGTGGCCAGGTCAGAAACACTTCAACCAGCAGGCAAAGAGGTAGCTGCATCATCCTAAAGCTCAGTTCAACTGAGCTGGATGTAGACATTTCCCTTATGTTTTCTTTTTCTTGTCTTAATCCATTTCTGTGCACCAGTTCTGCTCAGGGTTCTCCTGGGACTGTAACCAATCTTAGATTGCACTGTATGGCCAAAAGGTATGGGTGCAGGTTTCCAGTCTATTACAGGGCTAGAAGGGGGAAAAACATTTGCACACTGACTTTTCATGGGGTTTTCTTTGGGTCAGAATCCTAGAAGAGGTTGAAGAGAGCAACCACTGTTTAAGAATGATGGAAGTTTGTTGAAAAATATTTTGCATTTTGGTAAAACAGTGACTTACTTTTTTCAGAAATATAAGGGATATTTTGGTTTAATGTTTGTCCATCTTCAATTAGTAATGTACAATTATAAAAAGTCAATGTGATAACTCAGGACATCACTAAAGTTGAAGCAGTTAAGGTGTGTTGGAAGAAAATTGATGCAACAAAATAAATGGAAACATAGTATATCACTTCAAAATAAGTTATCTGATGTGATGAACAGTGGCACAGTATTTTAGTGTTAAACTGATCATTTAGCAATGCCTGACTCTCAATTCCCATGTAACCTTTTGTGTTTTTATTATTATTTTTTTCTCAGGTAATGCTGGAAATATGGAGGAAGGCATCCCTCTGAAAACCAACTCCCTTTCTGATAGACCTGATGGGAGCCTGCTGAAGGGGACAGCTGATGTTGTAACCATTGTTAGGGAGTAGTGAACTGTATGTAATTAAACTAGTAGTTTATCTACACTGTGAAGGAACTTGCTATTAGTTCAGCTATATTCCTATTTCCATAGTGATTCAAGCAGTTTTTAACGGTCGCTGAGGGGTGGGCAGCAAATGTGGAAGAGAGAAGGGGAGCCCTGTGACAAGGGTCAGCGGCTGTACTGCTGACATCACACACACACACACACACACACACACACACACACACACAGTGTGTCTAGCATACAATGCTCTGCACAGTAACCATTCAGCTATTGGGGTCTTCCTGTGATTCAAGTAGTTAAATTACTGTTTAACTACTGAAACTCCCAACAATTATGGGCCATAAAAGGAAAGGAATAATTTTTTTTTTATTTTACAAAACTGGAAGTGAGCAGTTCTCAGCCCTGGCAAGGACATTTTCAGTGCCAAACAAAACTACCTGTTGGATAAGAACTTTGAGAGACTGTTCATATCTTGGAGAAAAAAAAGATATTCTGCTCTGAAAACTTTAAAAAATGTGCTCAAGTCAGTCAAACAGTCTAAAAAGGTGCAAGGTAAATATTTCTTTCTTTACTGTTTTAGCTGTTATCAGATAATCCAAATTTGTTTATAACAAAAATATAACATCCTTGCAATTTTGTCTTTGAGAAAAGCCCTGATGGGCTTGTTTCATTTAGGACAGGTTTAGATCTCAGGTATTTAACTCAGTTGAGTGACATTTTTTTGCTGGCATGTGACCTTTTTGTATTATATTTTGTATAATGTGTGTTGTCAATTTGGTAATTTTGTTTTCTAAGTAGTTTGAACTATTTTTTCTAAATAGCTTTATTTAACCAAACTAGTTTTCTCCCTAGGGGAGCTTTGCTGTAGTTAATCTTTTTGTGAAGTAACTGGTGGTGCTTTCAGAGTAGCTTTTCCAGCACTAGTCATGACACATGACTTGTGTCTGCAGGTCTATGACTGTGCACAATCCACTGTGAAGAGAAAAGTTTGCCTCAAGGTGCTACAGAGCCTTACTACACATGAGTGTTTTTTCTATTGTTGGCCAGTATTCCCACTACCGAGCCAGTGCGATTCTGAAGATGTTGTTAAATGGTCAGATATGTTGCTGTCCTGCTGAGTTACACATTGTCTTTGATGTACAGTGTTAGTCACAAAGGGATTTATTGTGTATGTGTAGAAAGTTGATCAAGATGTATCAGAGTATTTAATACTGCAGTTATTAGACAAAGATTTCAAGATATATCCTTAGATAGGCTTAAATGTTGGTGTTTAATGGCTTGAGACTGCAGTATGGCAAAACTAAAAAATCTTAATTGAACACTGATTTAGGAATATATGTCACTAAAGCACAATATCACCTGACATAATAAGGGCCTTGAAGTGGGTCATGCATTACCTGTGCCTGATTGTGAAGCCCTATTGTAAGGGTCCATGTTCAAATCTAGTTTCAAGAGCCATGTTGTTTGTGTTACATATTGCATATTCCAGCATTATTAGGGTCAATTATCACACTGGGATCAGGTTTTATCCTGGCTTAGAAAAACAAGCCATTGCACAGAGGACAGGAGTATAATGAGAAAACACTAAGAGGGTGCTCAGCTCATCACTTTCATAGTGGGGGTTTTGTGCCTTAGGTGAGTGCTCTTGACAATAGCATAATCTGTAATATAAAATGAGCTGTCTGCTTTTCACATTATATGAAGTAATGTAGCTACGGTAGGCTTCAAACTGGTCTATCTGTTCATATAAATAAATGTATTTAAACTTGTGTGAACATGGAGTTTGTTGAAAATGGATGTTCTTTGTCTATGTGGAGACTAAAAATCTGATATTTGGAGGTTCAGAGGACAGGTGGTTTAAGCAAAATGCATCTTAAGTCAGTACTGTCCAGTTATATATTACGGTTACCAACATCACACTGGGTAAGTGGTACTGACATTTTCATTTTATACATCACTTGTGCCACTAAATCAGTATAGAACGAACTGGCCAGGCTATGCCTGGCCTAAATGTACTTTATTTTGTTTTTTTCCTTAAGTCTTTTTATTTAACAACAATGCAAATCAATACAAAATGTATTCAGTACAAATTGTTGCAACACATGTATTAAGAGGACAACAGGACAAAAGTAGGCATAATACAACAAAGTGAAAATGAATAGCAGAACCAAACACGTGAGAACAAAGAAAAGAAAAAGAACAATATATAAAATACAAAGAGGTAAAGCTATTCTGATATAAAATTAAAATGTTTAAGAAGGTCAATTTAAGAGAGCACATTTCAGGTCAGTCAGTGGTTTTGGTTCGACTTGTGTTAGGGTGGTTTAATTGTCTTTGTTTTTGTTTTTGTTTTTATTGAACAATTGTGTTTACAACAAATGTGGCAAACATTAGTATTCCATAACATTAATATAGAACTGGTGCAATAATAAAGAACAGAACAAGACAGGAAGGAGAGAAAAATAAATAAATACATAAATAAAATAAGGTTCAAAATAATAATAATAATAATAGATAATAATAAATAAAATTAAATTAAAAGTGAAAAGTCATGTTAAAAAAATTAGGGCTTTGGTATTAGCGTTTTTGGTTTTCATTAGACTTAGGGCTTTGACAAAAACAAGAAACTCATTGAGAAATATACAGAAACGAGGTACAATTTTCATATACTTAGCTTTATGTATATGAAATTTCCCAAAAATTATGTTATTGATCAGAAAGTCAGCGTTGACATTGTCCATCAGGAGCCCATAAATAATGTCTTTTTGGGTGAAGTCATTTGGGAGATGAATTGATTGGAACCAAACAAAAACCTCATGCCAAAAGTTCTTCACAAACGTACATTGGAAAAAAAGATGTTCTGCATTTTCATCTCCGTCACAAAATACACAGTTATTGGATTCAATACCAAATCGATGTCTCAACAAAGCACTGGATGGATATATACCATTCAAGGTTTTAAAATGAAGCTCTTTGGCTTTCGGAGTGATAGGGAAATGCAAATACTTTGTTTGTAACAAGCAAGCAGTTTCCTTTGAAAAGAATTGTAAGATAGAATTTCTGTATTGAGAAGAAGGGCACGAGATATTGTTTAGGATATTTCTTAATTTTTTGTTTGGGTATTTGAGCTGATTGAAAGCACAACCTCCAATTAAAAGCTGTGGGAGAGATGGGCTGATTGGAGTAGGGTTACCTAAATACCCTTTAATCAAACACAAGAAGGAGGTAGGGATTGCTTTGATAATAGCATGGAATGATTTACGATCTTCAATTCTCCCATATTCGACACAAAAGCTTTCATATGATAAGAAGGAGCCATTTGTGTCAATAAGATGAAATACCGACCAAACCCCTTTCTCCATCCAGTCACTATTGAACAACGATTTGTTCTTGATCTTAATATATCTATTATTCCAGACTGGGCTACTGTGGGGTGTGAAGTTATGATTATTTAGGCGTTTCTGGCCTAAATGTACTCGGACAAGAAATAAAAAGAACTGTCTCACCGCACGCCGCCTTTGGAAAAACTGACCATAAATCGTAAACGTGCAATTTTTATATTTTCATAATTCGATTTAATTGCCACGATCGATGTGAAACAGTGTTTTAAGTTGTATTATTAAGCTCGTGTAGACGAGGATATAAAGATCATATCTTTTCAATCGGGCACAATTGGGGTCAGCAGTTCCTAGGTCCTTTAGAAGAGGACCTGCGGCAAAAAAAAGCAAAGCAAAGCAAAGCAAAGCAGTGGCTGTGTTTCAGTCAGTCCACTTTTGTGTAATTTAAGAGAGCACATTTCATTTATCCCTTCTATTTCCTCCGAAAAGCTAGCACGGAATTCCACTATCGGGTCAGGTTGAGGAGTGAGTTAAGATCCAACAATGATAACATCTGCCGGTAAGTCATAGGAAGTGTTTTTATTTTGCTAGCCCTACTTCAGCTAGCTGCCATTGATTTAGCTGAGTCACATAGCGTTAGCAAATACAGCAGTTGTCACCATGCTGTTAACCGGTGATAGTAAATTAAAACAGCTGAAATCATTTTAGAAAAGGAAGAACGTTTTGGAGAATGTTTCTGTTGTAACTAACCTGGGCTCCATATTTAATGCATTGTTATTAAAATATAGGGATTCATAAATAATGTTAGTAATGTTGATGCTAACAGTTATTTGTTCTTAGCTAACAGTCATTTTTCATGTTTCATAGACCATTCGACAAATTTTAAACATTATTTGTTAATAATAAATAAAATAATTGCTTGTTGCATGCATATATTTTGCCTTTCTTCAGCTAAAACAAAAGAGTTTATTGGGCATTTTCTTTTCAGAATGAGGCGCACTGTGAAAATAATTTAGTATTGAGTAACGTTAGTTTTCTTCATTTATGATTGATTATAGAAACTGATTTAAATTCACCCTAGAATTGTTACACAGTGCATCTTATTAGAATCCTGCAGGTGTGATAACTCGCATAGATCAGTCTTCAAGTAATCAGTGATATTGGTAAGATTTTTGTGAAACTGACTGGAACTATGGACCTACAATTATATAACAAAGTTGAAAAATTGATCATGTAAAACAAAGTATAATAAAATAAGTTTTATTTAAATCATGTCACTAATATGTGTGGTTTTCATTGGGTAAAGGTTGTGTTATAAGAATGTGTATTAAGAATCTTAAACTGTAGCAAAGGCAGTCTTTACAGTCTTTCTCTGTTGCTTTCATGTTGATTAAATTGCCATAATTATACACAAGAAGGGGCTACAACCAAGTGTAATACTTCATAATACTAGACTGATATGACTAATGATGAAATGATTATGGACAAATATTGTATTTCAACCTGCAAGAGGTAAAGCACTAGACACTTGTACGCTAAGTGATCCTTTTTTTAAGTGCCAGGACTGTTTTAAAATGTAATATATGGCTATGATACGTTATTTTATGAATATTAAAAACTTTTTATATTTAAAATGTATGATTTGATGAAAGAAATGATGTGAACTCTGTGAATCAAGCAGCTGCTATGTCAGGTTTATTTTTCATCCTTTCTTTGTCTTTCTATTTTTTCTTTTTAAGCTGGAATTATTTCACTCCTTGATGAGGAGGAGCCACAGCTCAAGGTAAGAAGTAGTAGCAGAGTGGTGGAGCAGGTGCCTGAAGATTGCAAACTCTTATAAAGGAAAGATGTAATGCCTTGTCAAATGCTGTTCAGAAGTATACATACTACATGCATTTCAAAAGTATACATAATGCATACAAGTGTGGTTTTAATTACTAGTAAAAGCACATGTTGACTCCCTGTGAAATGTTTGATAAGCAGGAAGAAGCAGTCCTTAGAGCTTTGAAATGTGGCATGGTGTTCTCTTACAGATATGGAGACCTAGAAATGATCAGGGCTAGTAAAGACTAGTTGTACTAATATGATTTTTAGTGTTTGATGGGTCATGAAACCAAGAGGCAATCACCTCTGTATGCCTCTCACTGTGTGTCAGGAATGCACTGCAAGCTTCAGCATTTCTAATTACTCTTGTAGTCAGATTTGATAAGTGCTACCGTTCTACATTTATATAAAATATCAATAATGATGACTGAAGTTGCAGTTTCATACTGACTGCATTTTCACATTGAATTTCTTCATGGGTACAGACAGAAGATTCTGAGTAAACTGAGCTGTATAATTTTTTTATTTTTATTTTTTTATTTAAGTTTCTTCCAAGCATGGAAGAAAATGATATTGCGAAAAACAAAATTGATTCGACATTTCAACCAATATGCATAAGACATCACAACATTCCAATAGTACATACTTGAAAGGGAGTAGGAAGAAGTATACACTTATCTAGTCCTACCCCATTTCTTAGACCGTGGTACCATTAGCCCAACACCGGACACTCAGACCCACAGCAGTGCCAGTCCCCAACAACCACCATATATCCATCATATCACCACCCTATCCATTGTACATACCAAACAAACCAATTTCCTCATCGACCAGCCTCTTAAATTAAACATAGACCAGCCACGCCATGCACCCAACGTCCGGCGTCAAGCCAACTACCCCACGGTCTATCTCCTCCAAGCTTAATAATGGCACAATTTCAGATGTGAATGCAACATCTTTGTTTCAATTACAGGAGTTTGCTCTGCACAAGCTAGACTCCATAGTGAATGACTTCTGGGCTGAGATCTCAGGATCAGTGGATAAAATGTAAGTATTATTGATGAACTAGGAAACTGCAGCTGACTTAGGAATATTACTTTAGGCAGCATTAACTCAAGCTGGTTTAATTTAGTTTTCTTAAGCAGATATCTGAATCATTCCTAGAGTCAGTTTACCACTCTATGGCACAAACAGAGTGGTTTTTCCACAGTTTTTCCTCTCTGGTCAGAGGGAAAAAATTCATGTAGATTTGATAATATACATTGAGTTGTAATACAAAATATTTATTGCTATTGCATATATTTTTCAGCTTTATGTAACTCTATATTGTCTACTCACAGTGAGGTCTTGTATGAGGATGAGA